CGCATCCTGGAGCGATCGGTCTGTGTAACATATGGACCAAGTAGTCAAAGAGTGCTCGGAGAGATTCGCGCATGTTGATCGGTACAGTTGCACTGATGTGCGTGTCACCGCCAGACATCCACAGCTCCACCATAATCCAATGCCTATCAACAACAATGGGCCAGATGATGTGCCCAAAGGTCAAATACTCCGGTGTGAGGTCATTCACAAATGTCAACTCGCTTCGTTGGATCGACCAAACAGCAGGAGCACAGAACAAAGTGGATAAGGAGAGCAACCTGGGACCCTCCAACGTGTAGTCCATTTCATCCGTTGCTAGCCACCCTGGGTGGGCTCGGAAATGATCCAATCGATGCTGGATGCGAGCAATGCGTTCTTGATCACGTGAAGTGCGATCAGCCGAACCAGTGATAGCTTCAGGGTTCTCAACTGGGTGCCTGATCTGGAGCATCGGTTGGCGTGAAGGCCGTCCCTGCGCAAAATCGGCCGCTAGAACTGTCAAGAAATTCTTTCGGAGCTGATGCGCAAGGGTCTCGACTTCCGGAGTAATTCCAGCCGTTCGCCAATCTTCAACCGAGCACTGCAATGCCAACTCGACAGCATCAAACAAATTCTGGGGCAGGTGGTACTGTGAGGCGACATCTTCCAGCTGCGTGTGATGACCACGCCATGAGAACCATCGCATGAGCAAGTTCCAGCCACAGAGGTGCGGCTGGTAGTGTTCAGGAGTGGCGTGTACCGAAATCCTTTGTGGGTCAATGTCCATCATCCTGGCCAAAATGGCAATCACCGGCGTATGGAAATCAGCATGTATCTGGACCAGAGTGATACTCGTTCCCTCACCTCGCTTGGTGATCTCAGCAGCTCTCCAATGGGAACGAACCAAAATAGGAAGCAAAGTGATGGCATTGTTGTAGATGACGGGGTCACCGAAGAAGGCGTCCTCAAAGGCATCTTTCTGCGTGTCCCACATAACAGGCGGGGAAGCCCTGATGCCAGCACCCATCCACAAAGTTTGAGTATGCGCGTACATCTCATCAGAAGCCAGCCACCCGTGTGTGTTGGTCATAAACTCAATCCTGGCTTCAAAGTTTGATCCCTGGCGAAGAGTAGGAGGGGTGCCACTTGATTGGTGATGTCCTCCCGCCACAACAACACTTTGGGCAATGCAGCCAATGAAGTCGCCACGGGAGAGCATGGTGCAGTGTTTAACATGCTTCCCATTGATCTGGTGAATCCGAGTTGGTGTACCATCGATGATGATCTCCTGTGAACTGCCAGTGGCCCTCGGGACGTGGACGATCCTGGCCGTGGTTGCCGGATGCTGCGGTGAAAAAGCAACAATAGGGCAGACGCCTGGCTCCTCAACCTCGTGCAAAAGAGCAATGATCAATCCTCGTCCATGTTCCAGAGAGAAAGCTTGCCCAGAATGAAGGGAGCTGAGTTGGTGCAAACAATGCTGTTGATCACCATGTGTGCAATGAACCGTGGTAGAAATCTGTCCCTGCTGATCAACAATGGTGACTTGTTGTGACCGTACATCCACATCATCTTGCAGTGTTTCGATGCTGGGTTGTACAAAGTGAAAGAAGTCACTCTTTGTAAACTCATCCAAATCCCAGATAGGCAACGAGCTGCGGATCGGCATAGGCATCGGCTCAAAGGGCATAGTCTGAGAGATTTCGATGACCTCGGTACACGGCAGCGGAGTGTTCTCATGACTGAGACGGCATGTCCCAATGGGGCAGTAGTGCACGAAAATCTGCCACTCGGTCTGTGCCTGTGCGAAGTGGCGAACAGGTTGACAATTGTGCATGCTAAGATCATGATCAACGAGCTGGCATTGCCTCAACAGGTCAACTGGCCCTTTCAACAGTTTTCGGAACAAGTCAGCAGCATGGACTTGGCCGTGGACAGACCGTTGCAAAGACATGTCCCCAATGGAGACTTGGCAAAGGATACGGTCCAGACCTGAGGCCTCGGCTGAACCTGGCTGAATCCATCGACTGAGCTCGTCACGGGGCACGATATGGACGAAGTCATCAAGATGGAAGATGACACAGTTCCGAGACGTCAACCGATCGGCCCATGCTTGACGAAGGATCTTTATTGGGTCAATGGCATCACCAGTGATGGCCAAAAATCCAATAGCCAATGCAAGCACACTCTGAGGGACGGTGATGGCGTTACCTAAGACCTGGAAGGTAGCAGAAATCTTAGAAGGAAAGACCAAGGACTCCACTGCACCGAACATGGACACGAACAATCCAGGTGGGAAAAAAACGAAATCCATCGGAAGTGTGTTGGAGCACAGCGAAGATGCCTTTATTCTGCAAGTGAGCCCCATTGAGTAGGTGTTGCCTTGTGTACGATGCACACAGTGTGGGCATAGGATCTGATGATCCCAAAACCCTCGACCATAACCCCTTGGTGTCATGGGATGGTCCTGAGGCCGTGGTTCTAGCCCTCTTGGTTTGAGGCAACAGGTCCTCCCGGTTGTAAAACTCACATTCCGAAGGGCTGAGCAGGAGTTGCTCACTCCAGACTTTTGGGATCCGAAGTTCATGTTCTTGGTGGTCCCATGGAGCTCGAGGCACAATGGAAGGTTGGAACGTAAAGGCAACCTCTTGGCACCTATGGTCAGCCCGAACCCAAACTCCTAACCATCTCGTGCGCTGGTGCCCAACGATGGAATGATACGGGGTGGCTTGGGACCATACACACTTGAATCCTAGGCAGCTGGCCAGAGATTTGATCAAGGGCCAGTGTGGATGTTTCAAAAGTTCGTCTGCACATTCGGCCGCAATGAAATTGGGCTGACAAGCGGCTGCTGTACAGAGAGCCTCTACAAAAGAGTACCCATTGGCGTCATCCAACCCGGCTTGCTTGCCTCCGCGGCTCCAGCTTTGGCACGGTGGGCTCATAGTCAACACCAAATTCGACTGTGCTCTGATGGCATTCAGAATGGTGTGGTCTTCGACCCTTCCACAAATGCCGACAAATTCGGCCGGGATCCACGCCATGGACGGCTCAATGGGTGTCCGCAAAGTGGCAGCTTGATGCTTTGTCGACCACAACTTCATGACCAAGTCGTCACAATCAACAGCAACTTCTTGTCCTTTGACCATGAACTGTTGAGAGCGGCTGATCCAGCTTAAGGCCTGACTCCAACCTGAGAAGGAGCCGGAATACATGTGAAGTGCTGACCAAGGCATCTCTTTAACCAGCTCAGGGCGGAAGCACATGGCAGCGTCCTCAACCAAACCTCCGTAGTCCCCTCATTCTTCACCAGTGTTCCAGTGAAAATGATCTGCCCTCCCCTCGTGAAGTGCATGGACCTCTGAGGTAGGTCCGACACATGCAGCTTGATGACGGGATCCTGCTCAAAGCGGGAAGCAAAGCCCTCCCCCGGTGTGAACAGGTGCATAGCTAGTTCGAGAAACTGATTCTCCACCACAATAACGTCACCTGTGCAGCAATGTTTGTCTCCAAACTTCGGGAAGTATGTTGGAGATTGCAGCTCACTGAAAACACCGCGAAGATGTGTCCTGAGCGGATCATGGAGGATCTGGTCAGCAAGATCCAGAGCAGCTTTCACAGCCATGGCAGCACGAACGAGTTCGAGGGCACACCTACAAAAGGTCACAAGTGTACCAGGCTGGCCACCGTTTGCGGTAGCCTGGTAGACACCACCCCCACCTTCGGAGGTGGCCAGTGGCCGTCGGGAGCCGTATCCCTAAGCCTACCGGTTTTGGGCCGTGGCGGCTGTCTATAACTCTGTACCCTTTACTGAACCAACCAATAGCCTCCTACCAAACTAGCCGTAGGATGTCTGGGTCTTGGCTCATGCGAATGATTGCAAACTGTATCAAGCTGTGTGAAGACTACCTTGGTATGGCAATTCTTGCCAAGTGGCAATGCTCTAAGTATCTGTTAGCTTATATATGTCCCAAGGAAAAAAAACACATATTGAATGGATCTCATACTCCAAATCAACCCATCACTCGCTGGCTCATTGTTGTTGACCCTCCAGCTAATCATCTTCAATCCTTGTCCATTATATAGTATTATCCAATACTGCTGACCATAGAGTCATATACAATCACAAAAACTATCTTACCCCGGAAATTCGTTTATTTACTCATACTCACACATACCCACTCACTCATATTCACTCATACCCATTCCTACCCCATTCCAAGTGGAGTCCATTGGCAAATCGGAACCGGGCACCACGACATTGACCGCTCCTGGCGCAGCAAGAGGGCTCCAAAGGCGCCCGCAGTGAGCAGCTGAGGCAGGGCGGCGCACGCTGTCCGGGGCACCTGGCGACCGTTAATCGTCCCCGTGATTCTTACTATGCGAGTGCTGTTGCTAGCTGTTGCTAGTGCTGTCCTCCAGCACTTGCTAGAAGTGGGAAAAATATCTCACGGTGTGGTGCAGGGTTGTCTTGTCATTTGTTTGGCACTGCTTGAGTAGGGGTCTCTTCTCTAGCCGTCAACCGCATCAAAGCACCCTTTAAACATTTATCGAAACACCTCAAGAACTGCACCTTTATAAAATGACAATGACCAAGGTCTCTATCAGGTGGTAGACGTATTGGGGTCTTGTATCTTTACATGTTTGCTTTGATGAGCACTGAATACCGTTGAGATCATAGAATTAGCAAAGCTTCTGAGGCATTGCAAAGCCCTCAGGCGAATGCAGAATGCCCTGCTGCAAACATGAGTGTTTGATGAAGTTCTCTTCATACTCTGCCTTTTCAAATCGGTTGATTGGCGGTTATGCTTGATTGTTGATGCACAGTTCTGCAATGTCATCCAACACTGCACAAACAAACTAGACCCGTTTAGGCTACCCTGGCTGCCCGACCCACATTAAACAGATATAGGAAGGGTTGCGTTTGCATTGTGTGAACTAAACGACTTGTAAAGTGAACGTTCCACCACGTCAAGCAGTCAAAGACCCCACTTTGGGGGCACTAACAAAGCAATCATCTAGAATTAATGGTTTGGGTCTGAGCAAATGTAGGCAAACTGAAGCTTGCATCAGGCAAGTTGAGCTAAGCACTTCCTTTTCATCAAGAATGACGCTCCGGGATATCGTAGCATTGGTATTCTGGACTTGCAAATCAAACGCACTACTGTTGGTTGCAACCTTGGCAACAAAAAAGATGAGTATGAGATAGTATGAGTTTGGATGGTTCACACCCAAAGTGTCCGGACTGGTAGGTATCGTCTGAAAGCTCCCCTGGATGCTCCTCGTCAACAGTGCCCCCACACGTGTTGAATCTTGGCACACGACCATTGCGACGTGCCAAAGACCTCAGTGACTGCAACACTGCGGCTGTAGTCTGGGGTGTTGAACTCCACTGCAATCAGCACACAGTTGTCCTCCGTATATCCCACTTCGTTGTTCAAGCGCTCAAGCGAAAGGCGCCAATCCGTGTGGAGTTCTTTGTACTGCAAAGGAACTCTAGAATAAAAGCATCTACCTTGCTGGCGTTCCAACATGTGTACCAAGCTCGAGAACCTGATGCTGCACTCTTGCCCTCGCAACTTGGAACGCCGCTGAGCGTTGTTCAGGATCCCCTTCAGGTGGCCGCGCAAGGTTGAGCGATAAGCACGATCCAAAACTTTCTTGCATTGTTTGCAGGATGATCTATGTCCACTCAAAACCGAAGCGTTCCTATGGAACTCAGCATGTGGTTTCTGCTCGAAGCATTTGGTGCAGTATGCAAAGCCTGGCTCTGGTGGCATTGACGTCTTTGGTGCATTGCCTCTTGACCTAGTCATCCTGGGGAGTGGGAGCTGCGCTCCTTCAATATCTTTGTGAAGCGAGGCCAAATCCAGATTGGTCTGGCGCAAAGCATGAACTTGCTGAACCTTTTCTGCTGACCATTGTGCAGTTCCTTTGACTGCGTCTGCATCAACGCCTGGGAGGCGACTATAATCCGAGCTGTTGAATTCAGCAGCTATCAGCACGCAGTTTTTGCGGGTATATCCTATGCTGTTGTCGACCCGTTCAAGAGAGACTCGCCAATGACTGTTTGGAAGTAGCACTTCCATTGGAACCCCTGAGTAAGCACATCGTGCCTCTTGATATGCCAACATATCACAAACATGTTCACGCGTCAAGGAAAACTCTTGCCCACGCACATTGGCATTGCTCTTGGCATTGGCCAGCATGCGAGAGATGCATCCGCGCAAAGTCCGACAATATTTCAAACATTGCTCTTTTTTTGCAGTCCTTGCATCTGCTGCATGGCTTCTGCGTGCTTTTCTTAGTGTAAAAGTCTTCAGCCGGTAGCCACTTGCTGCAAGAAATGCACTTCCACTCCCCTGCGTGGTTCGCAAACCTCTTCTCTCGCCTTGGTGGATGGTTTGAGTCACGAGGAGACACCCTGGCAGTGGCTATCATCTCCATCAATTGGCTATGGCAAAGTGGCTGGGGTGCGCATTGCCTAAGCTCAGCTGCAGAGATTTCGGTGGTCACCAAGCTGCGGCCACCGGACCAGCGTGATGAGCAAAAGAAGCCTGAGGTCATGAAGAGGGACCTGCACAACTGCTTCTTTCCTCCAGCAAGCGTGTCACATCGAAGAAAAAGCAGCGCCATGGATTCGGATCAGGGTCCTGTTTAGCAAATGCGCGAGTGCGGGAAGCACATGGATCCTTATTGGGTCTGTCCTATTACCTGTAACAGTTGGCAAACAATTATCACTAACATTATTTTGGAACCAGGCCTTTACTAATATCATCATTCACTGTTATTGGCGATAGGATAGACCCAAGATCCTTGAGCCCATCTTGAGCCCCTCTGGGACCTGTTGAAGGTGTGGGTTGATAGAGCGCTACCTGGACAGATTTGCGTCACTGCAATCCGTCGCTGAAACAAGCACGGCACTATACGGCACTCTTAAAGATGTTGAGAGAAAACATAAACACCTTGGCCTTTACAAAACAAAACAAAACATTATCTTTGTAGATTCCTGGTCAGGTGATGCCCAACAGGCAAAGCCAACAAACCATTCGAAGCCTCGAGTAATCCAAGAAAGGTGGTATCTGTTTCCGCTGCTAAGACTAAGTAACTAGGCCGACCACACTGTGGCGAAGCAAATACACAATGCCAAAGGCATTTCAACTCTAGTAGGTGCTGGATCTTGTGAATAGCATTTAACAGCACATCATGGAACAGTGGAATGTTCTTCAGCTGGGCATGTCATGAGAGCATCAATCTTGCACAAACGTATGAGCAGTGCTCAAAACTGCTTGATTTGTTGCCGCCAAGTGCCCCCATTAGCATCGGCTACGAGTACCATCTGTGGCTACAAAGTGGCGCCTCATGTTTTGCTTTTTGATGTTTAAGATCAACTAGCAAAGGAACAGCAGCAAATACAGTCCCTGCGTCCACGACATAGGTCGGTCAACTTGTTTGCAGCACAAAACGCCACCTGCCTTCACTGGCTTCCCTTGCTGCAGCTCTGGCGAACGCACCAGCTGGGTCTGTGATGGCCTCAGCGGAACAACGCGCGGCACTTCAGCCTTTATGAGGGACCTACTTGCAACATGGGAACGCAGCATACAATAAACAACACAATAATAAGCCAACATGGTGTGAACATGTGTGAAATGAGACATAGGACATAGGACTAGCATTGTGTGTGTGTCACCTATACCCAAAGCGCAAAGTTTTTGGGAGAAAACCCATGCACTCAGCGGCTCACAATGCGGTTGTACAAGGTCATGATGCCTTTCTGGAACACAATGCCTTGAAGATCCTTGAAGCTTCTCTGAAGAAACAATATCACGATGTTGTGGCGTTAAATGATTTCTGAGCTAGATCACATCATAAACTCCCTAAGCCTGAGCAGTACAATATATACCAAACAACCATTCAACAACTTGATCATGTATGCAATTCCCAACAATCAAAACTGAACACCTCAAAACACCAAACAAACATGTTTGCATGTAAACGGGGTCAATCTTCATGTTCCCTCAGTTTCATGTTGGTTGCCCAGGGTGTACAGCCTTCCTTGATCCAGCAGTTTCAACAGGAAACCGCAAGGATGTTCGGCACGAAGGCTGGACAAATGCCTCAGTGAGAAAGGGATGCTCTGAGGACATGGTCACGGATATGCAATCCATTTGATACAACAATGAGCACACAATAAATGAGAAATGGCCTACCAAACAACTCCCGTTGGACATCTAGGTCTGATAAGAATGTTCGGCTGGCTCTATTCATGAACTCGTGAACTGGGCACTGGCAGTGTGGAGAAGCTGAAGCGCATATCAAAACAGCTTCCGCAGATTCGCCACCAGCCCGAGCACAACCAAAACAATCGCTTCAGCAGCGCGAGAAACCGTTTCCCATCTTTTCCCATCCAGCATTTGTTTCGCCCGCACTCCCTTGATGCTTCGACCTCTTTCTCTTCTATATGATTTGGAAGCACACATAGACCGATGCAAAAAAACCATCTATATACTCCTTTCCTGTATGGTTCGCCGTTCGGTTTGTTGAGAACCAGTTCATTCGGAACGACCATCCAACACGAACATCCAATTGTCCAACGCTATTTGCTTCTGACCTCTTCAGACCTCTTCACAGCGCTTCGATGGAAGTACTGTAGACTAAGCCCTCCGCCACTGGCAGGCAGAGGAGCAGCAACGCACCGAGGCGCCGCATGGCTAAGGAGCTTCTCATCTTTCCAGACTCGTTAATGAGTAAAGGCACGGTACGTCTTGAATCAAGCAGCATGCAGTCGAACCCAAAACATATATACATTCAAGGATCGTGTCTGCAAATTCCGTCTTTAACTGCATCATACTGATGAACAAACACAAACAGGAAACTGCGCAAGGCACAACTATGCACATAGACTTGCTAATCGACTGCTACGCTCCGAGCAGGATTAAAATCCTCGCAGAAACATGCATCGCAAGTGCGGCAACATGCTGCTCTTCAGTCTCTTGGACAGTTGCAGTATCATGAGTCAACCATGACGGAGATCCAATAGCAATGCCAAATAGCAATATTGCTGAACTTACCAAAGACTGAAACACGATCACCAAGACTGAAAGTAAATTCCTTCTAGGAACAGGTGAACTCATTGAACTTGATCCCTTGTCATTGAACTCATTGAACCTGGTTTCAGCCGCAAATTATCTAGGTTCCTAGCTCATCAGATCATCCAGAAAGACGACAATATTCTTCTAATGTTAACACACAAAGTTCAGTCTTTCCAGCAACACATCTATTGATGTTGAAAGGACAAGAGGCAACCGGCCAGAAAAAAGTCACGAAACCAGCTGCCTGGCCAATGAGTTACATAGCCACTTGGCACATGTTTGGCATATGGATGTTAGAATACATCAGACATGTTCAATTTGATCTGACAAACATGTTCATCGTCCCCGGATCATCACACCGAAAGGAAGCCGCACCTTGAGACCCCCCGCCCATGCCGAGTGCCATTCACCCCTCTGCTGGTCGCTGGAGCTGCCTCAGTGGAAGAAAACTCTGGCTGACATTATTACGGAGCTCCAATTTCTTGAAGCAAAATAAACGAATATGGTGCGGGAAAATTGCAATTTGGAGAAGCCAAATATATAGACGCTTTATATATATATATATACATGCACATATTGTATACCATTGCAAATGATTCCGTCGGCGGCGGCAACATAGCACTTTCTACTAAACTTTGATATCACCAATGCATGAAGACCTACAGTACCAAACATGCATTGCATATGTGGAGGATGGCTGGAATGGCAATCAACCCACCTTCTGCGGCTGAGCCCGTGGGGCGGCCAGTAAGCCTGACAAAGTCAACGATTCTGCTACATCACTAACCACGCGAAGAAAATCTCTTCAGCTGGACTTGGTCTGAATCGAGACAAAGACCCATCAAGGTTTGATAAATATGCAAAGCCGAGAATTCAAAGGAGTCAAGTAATTTTGACCGTGATCGTTTCAACACATTTTTAGAATATGTTTATCATGGTAAACGTTGGCAAACTACTCACGATTCTTGTGTTTTAAAGCATAGCTTTGCAGTTGTATATGATTCGATCGAATTTCATGCAGGGCATAGACTCCCACAAACATAGACATTGTTGCTTCACTGTCTTTGACCTGTCCATGTTTGATCTGTTTCCTCCAACTTGTGCCACTTCACGTCGCCCGCCTTCCGCTCGGTCGCCCAGGGTTTGCCGAAGCAGCGCCACCTGGGACAGGAGACCTCCTATACCCATGCATGTAGTCATGTAGACTCTTGAATAAATAAACTCCCCAAACACGAATTACCCCAGATGAAAAGGATGTCCAGTTCAAATGAGGGAAAGTTTATTCATCAAGAGTCTACAGAGACGGATGCCTGGGTGATCCATTTTTTTGCTTAAAGCGGTTTTGTGACCGAGGGAGTGTTATGCAATCAAGCTATACATATATATATATATGTTGGATAGTTAGTGACGGCTAGGGAGTTTAGAAGCTATGCCGCTATGCCTACACAGCCACTTGGGGTTGTGCAAGACATCTTCTTGGATGCTAGTTGTTGGTCTGCAAGTACGCCCAAACAGTCAGAATTCTGAAAACAGAACAACATCATACAACATCAACAGAACAGCCTACCTCGGCGAATTGAATCTGCGACCCACCTACCAGTATCTAGAACCAACCCAAAAAAGGGAAGCAACACCATGTTGTCAAACCGAAAGGTCAGACATTCCACGCCGGCCCCCGTTCGTGTCCTTCGTCTCGTTCCTCCACCGTTTCCAACACCGCCAGGGGTCGGGTCGTCGTCGTCGTCGCCTCGACACGATTGGACGACACACCGCGCCACCCGATGGAGCAGCGGCCTGCGCTTCACTCAGAGGCCCACTTTGGAGCAGCAGCTGAGCAGCAGCCTGCGCTGCCAGCGCAGGCAGCGTACACGCGCAGCCAGCAGGGACTGAAGGTGCAGTGCGCACTGCACAGAAAATCACAAAGTAGATCAGGACGAAATAAAGCGACCTCATCTCATCATGTCAAAAGGTCACTTTGAACAAAGAATCTTTTTCCGCTTGATGGTTTGAAACTGTCGCCCCTTCATATGCAGGACTTTGATTCCTCCCGTCGAGCTCTACGGCTCCGCGCGGTCCGTCGACGTCTCGCCTCGGCGCCGCGGAGGTCCCCCAGGTTCGCACACACGGAGAGCAGCATGGTGCAGATCTCCGGTGGCGCCTCACCTGGCGAAGGAGGACCGGAAGGGTCGGCCAAGGGGAGTGGATGGGAGGATGATGGATGGAGGGGGGTTCGGCTAAGGTTGCTGCCTTGGCACAATCCCCAAGTTAGGTGGTTTATATGGACCCCTATATAAAAGACATCTTGGGGTTTGCATCTACTCTGAAACCACTTATAGAGTGTTGGTATACTGTTTGGGTTGGTGTTCGCTTAAGTTGGGTACCATGACGGTTTAGGGTTTCTGGTGAAAACGGGTGATTTGGCGGTTTTGCCCTTAGGATGTTTGAGCAGGAAATCCAAAAGGCCATATTTGGATTTATAATGATTTACAGTATCTGCTTGAAATATTCAAGGTGGTGTAGCTGCAGAATTCAAGATTCAACTGACAGTCTGTGTACATGACACGTTTGACATCTTATAACACTTAAACTGATGCGACATGTGCGCAAGGGTTTAAGCAGCCTTCTGAAAGTAACAAGGTTCGCAGTTCACCTGCATTTGATATCACTACATCACAATCATTATACTCAATGGCAAAAACATCGGGAACCCTTTGT